AAGAAGAAGAAGAAGAAGAAGAAGAAGAAGAAGAAGAAGAAGAAGAAGAAGAAGAAGAAGAAGAAGAAGAAGAAGAAGAAGAAGAAGAAGACGACGACGACGACGACGACGACATCTACCCCCTTTCCGTTTCCGGATCACCTGAAACCGGAGCACGAGTGTTACTGCTCATCTCCTATCTCCCATCCTAAACGCCTGTGCAGAGGCCTGCGGCACCAGCCCCCGTGCACTCCGTGTACACTGCGTTTCTCTCTATATATAGCCAGTTGGTCCCACCTGACACTCGTTTGCAGGATCACTGGTCGGTAATGCAGACCACTTTTCCTTTTCGCCTGCTAGGCTCAGCTTATCACCTGCACGCTTCAACGATCCGGGCTCAGGAGTGCAAACGGCGAGCAGCACAAGTCATAGCCAACATAGTTTATTTATCACGTCCTGGAGATCTACATGATCACATTAGATGATGGTCTGATGTCGTTTCGTTTTACAAATTATAAAAGTGTGTGTAGCAGGTGTAGGATGTTAAATTAATTTAATTTAAATAAATAATGAATAATTTACAAGATAGCGTGGGGTGGGGAGGTCAGTGCCGTGAGCCGAGTGACCTGCTATTGGTAGATAAGCTTGTCTAGGAGCGGAATCGGTGGAAGTTGCCTCCGCACTACGATCGGCTTTGAGCTCCACTCGCCGCTCGACCTCCTGTTGTCTACTGCCTCCTCTCGCCGGTAATACTGCGCCTCGGGCGCCAGACTGTTTGACACGTCCTCGTACTGCACGGGCATTGACGACAGGCCATACTGTTGCTGCTGCTCGACGGGTGCGTACACCTGGCCCACCCCCCTATCTAGGCGTTGTTGCTGTTGCTGTCGCTGCTGCTGCTGTTCCTGAAGGTGATACTGCTGTTGTTGAAGGCGCTTCTGTTGCAGCTGCTGTTGCTCCTGAAGGTATTGTTGCTGTTGTTGTTGCTGCTGCTGTTGTTGTTGTTGTTGCTGCTGCTGCTGCTGCGCCACGTACTCCATTTCCATCTCAGATGCGTAACGACGCGGGGCGCTGGCAGGACGCAGTCTCTGCTCCTGGACCGGTGCTCTACGGCCATCCTGGAGTGACTGGACGGCCCACTGCAGTGGTGGCAGCTGCTCGAGTTGCTGCTGCTGCCGCCTGAAGACTTCCACAGCTGAGGCTTGAGGAACAGTGCTGTGCAAAAGAGCGAAAACATGTGAGGTGAGAGGTAAGGGTGTGCCTTAGGAGCGTCCAGAAACTGCGTCTATTTTCTCAGACTCATTTAGAAAAACACAGGAGCAGGCGCCTGCTAGACTAAGGGTAGGCCACCCTGCAGTACACGCATGCACTGCAGGAACGATGTTGCCTATCTACCAGGCGCGAAGAGAGCTGGCTAAGGCTGAATCTGGCAGAGTCGGGAATGGTCTTAAAGGCAAAAGACGGACGTTCTTTCTGGATGATCCGAAAGCTACTCCTCCAAAAAACCAGTCCAACGCGGTGGTTAAAAGTAAACATATAGTTTCGCGCACTAACTTCTACATTCATGACACATGCGACTCGTTTGCTGGATTCAGATCCAGATCTTATCTTACCCTCCCAGCAGACGATCGGACGTCGACCATTCTGGCCGTCGAGGCCTGCCCGTCGACGTTGTCGTCGTCGTTGTCGTCGTCCTCGGGAAATTCTCGCTTTTCCTCAGGCTGTTCTCGATGCGCACGCGGTAGCCCAGCGCGTCCGCCACGTACGAGACGACGCGCACGTTGCCGTCGGGCTCCACCAGGCCGTAGCTGCCCACCACCGTGCCGTTGGCGAAGCGCTCCTCCTGCCGGAACTGCGTGTTGCCGGAGGAGGGGTCCTCGATCTCGTACCCGAAGCTGTATGTCCCCGGCCCCTGCAAATATTTTGAAAATTAAAAACTAAGAAAAAAAAGAGGAACGAAAAATGAATTATTTACTGCTAATGTATTCGAAAAAGTAAACGTCATGATTAATTCCTCAAAACTCCTGTTCCCAAATGCACGATTTTTGAGCTAACAGCGATGATCCCAAGCAGGTTATCGAGATCAAGAGAACAATACAGTGACCATGTAGGGCAGCCTTCGGGCTGAAATGTCGGAGCAATTTGAAACACTCACGCGCACGCACGCGCACACACGCACAGACATGCGTCTGTGGCTTGTGTCCCCAGTCCCCAAAGGAGATGATGATAATCACACATATAGCCCCCCAATTAACCCGAGTATATGTCAAGGTCACGGGGGTCGGACATCAATGCCTACGAGGCTTTGCCCGTGCTTACATCGGTATCCCGTTCATCGTAGGCGTTCCAGTCCACGACGCTGAGCCTGGCCTGGGGCCCCTGAGGGGCGGCTGCGGAAGTGAGGGGGCTCCCTCCCCGGCCTCCGGGAGGGCCGGCCGGAACTGAACCCGCGACGGCCCGGGGAGTAAGCAGGGTCGCCCCCGGAGTCACCGCGAAGCACGCCGCCAACACCACCTGCGGGAGGAGTTCATCGGTTAAAAAGCTGTGCCAGGGTCGGACAAACAAAAATAACTTGCAAGCGTTACACTGTAAATACGAATGAGGTCGGGGCAAATTAGCCTATGTGCACTACAAGTAAAGGAGTGACCTTTTTCGCTCCCAGGAGAGCGATATCAGTGAAGCGAATTTGACGACTCTTGGGAGAGCGATATTAATTACATCGCTCGTTTGCAATAACTTTTCGCGACAGTTTTGGTTACGAATAAGACTAATTTTGAGTCATTTTCGCAAACGTCGATCGTGTAGGGTCGTTTCTGCGACATTTTCTGTTACGAAGAAGACTCATGTTGAGTCATTTCGCAAAAATCGCTCTAACAGAGCGATGACGCCTATACATCGCTCTATTCGGGAAAGAAAGGTCACTCTTCGTTTTACGGTGTGGTACATACATTGTGTTATAAATTGCTGGGATTTTTTGTAAAAGAAATCACCAGGTGAAACTTAACAGGCAGGTTATTTTATGGTTATAAGACACGGACGGACACAGGCGAAATACACTGTGAAAAAAATACACTGTGTATTTACAACCTCATCTGTGCACGCAAGTAACAACTTTACTTGTAAATAAAATTTTACGCCAGGGGTGTAAATTGATGGCGTGAGTTGTAATGATTGCTTGGACGCAGTATCCGCAGGTGCCTCGATCTCGATTTCATGTTTTTGATGTTAAGCCGCCACAGTAGCTCTCAAGTCCAATCTTCTCAATCAGGATAATCGAACAGACAGACAGACAGACAGACAGACAGACAGACAGACAGACAGACAGACAGACAGACAGACAGACAGACAGACAGACAGACAGACAGACAGAAGACAGACAGACAGACAGACAGACAGACAGACAGACAGACAGACAGACAGACAGACAGACAGACAGACAGACAGACAGACAGACAGACAGAGACGATCAGGGACAGAGACGGACAGAGAGAAGTCGACTGTAAAGATATTGTAACATATACTTGTGCAAACACGGCGGGGCGTCGGCGGATTATAATTGGGCGCAGGAAGCGACAGACGCTTAAAATTAGCCGCGGCAATATCAATAAGACGAGGCGGGGCCTGGCCTGGTGGCTCCGCTCCAACCCCCACACTCACACCCCTCCTCCTCGGCGCGGGCGTGAAAGACAAAGTGTGGTCTCGTAAAATAAAAATCCCGCGAGCCGCGCACACACATGTGCGTGTGTATATGCGCACATATTGTATCGCGGGTCGTTATTTTTTGCCGGACGAGGAGGAGTCTTCGTACTGTTAGGTGCGCCCCTTCGGCTCTGTTGGACTCCAGCAGCCACCCACCCGGTCCTCTCCACAGCGGGGAAGGCGTCGGGGGTCATCACCTCCCTGCGGCATGATTAGCGTGATGGCTCCCGCGATCAGCGGGCGGCGGGGGCGTGGCGGGGCGGGGGACGGGCTATGGGCGCGAGAGATCTTCACGTTGTATTTGCAATTCGAATGTTGGCGCGCCCTGGCATAGGCTGATCCAGTGCAGCAGCAGCTGATCGGGAACGGCCTCACTCTCTAGGTCGCTGCCCACCTTCCCCCCGCGAGCTTCCACTTCTGGTGGTTGCACTTGGCACCGCGCTGGCCCGACCGGCGTGCGCGTCTCTATTTGCACACCGTTGCAGCTCGCGCAGGGGCCCGTGTATTGCTGCCGAAGTGTCCCCGCGGCCGGGTCCCGTTGCGCGGTCTGACTGGTAGTGTGTGGGTGGCATACGGCTTTTCTTTTACGTCTTTCGACAGTCATTTGCTATGTCCACGCCGCGCGGCAAGCGTCTCTTCCTCCGCGCGAAACGTATTCAGACCGCAGTATATGAAATATGCAATAGTGTTTTCGGACTCGGCGACCCGCCCAAGAGGGCCCCTCCCTCTGAAACACCGATTAGATTGTCTTTTTGGGAGGACACGACATGCGATACACATCATAATTACATCAAAGACCACGCCGAATGGCGGGCGGGCCGCGCTCGGCGGCGGCCACTGACCTGCCCGCGCGCCGCCCGCATCGCAGCGCAGCGCGGCGCTCATCCCTTCGCTCCCGATCTTCTTTGCAAGCACTATTATTTTTGCAGAGCTTCCAATCGGACGGGAGCGGCAATAAGTCCGACCCGATGAGCATCGCCGACCCTCCCGCCTCTCTTCCTCCCGCCTCCTCCTCCTCTCTCTACTACTCCCCGGCGACGACAAATAAGGAACTCGTTTGGATGAGATGGAAACGCGAGCCCTGCTGTGGGAACCTCATTGTTCAACGCGGCTAGAATGTCGCTGTTTTAGCTTCAGCTTTAGCGCGATCAAGCAGCCCCGCCCGCGCCCGCGCCCGCACTCACCGCGCGCGCCACGTTTACTCGCCAATAAAAGTTGTCGATCCCTTGGAAATGGTCGGGTAAAGTGGCCGTAAATGTGGAGGCTGCGCCTTGCCCGCTGATCGAGGACCTGACGCCCGGCCCCGCCAGCCCCGCCCCGCCCCAACCCGCTCTGCTAAGTCCCGCGACGGGTGCCTACGACACCCTCGACGAGGACGAGGACGGAAGATAGCAGTCGCACACCCCTTGTCAAGGGCACCCCCTTCCCCCCCGGCAGTTCTTCCGTCTCACCGCCGTCACGGCCGGGGCGCGGCGCAGCGGCGGCGCTTGTGTAACGCAGAGATTGACATTCACTCGTAGGGTTTCCAAACACACACACACTCGGGGACTAGGCGACCATCCTTTCCCCGGTGATCCCCCGCTGACTACGCCGCCGCGCCCACACCACTGCCGGCCCGCGGCCCGGCCGGCCACTGCCTGGCCGCGGGTTGGACTCGGGCAGCGCCGAATCCGGGAATGGATGAGCTAGGCTCGGCAAATTAAGCAGCGAGAGAGGTTATTGAACGGAACGGAACTCTGTTTCACGCAAATCTTTCTACCGAAGATTTATGTGTCGTTCTCGACTACTACACCGTCACGTGTTCGAGTAGAACGATTTGGTGGGGTAGCAACTGCTTATTTTCGACCCATCGACAACCTACAACGCAACGTCAACAAAGTTCGTTTAGTACTTGCACCTCTGCTCCCTAATAAAAGGGGAAGGAGCCGAAAGACAAGAACAATTTTGTATCTAGCGAGGATGCATTCTTCAAGCACATCTCATCTCATCTCAAATAGATGCACATTTGTCTCGAAACTAGGCACAAAAAGGTAATTCGCACTAGTCCAACAAAAGAATATTTCTAAAAAGTGTGAGGACCAAAACAGGAAAACATGAAAATGTACACTGATGTGTTCAACTGGCGTGCACGAGCACGTGCTGAACACTATGTTTCGCTTTTTTAAGTGTTTGACCAGATATTTGAATACTTCGAAGTGTTCAACAATAAATTTGAACACTTTAATGTGTCCAAAGCTTCATAGACAACCCTGATATTGAACACTTTTAAGTGTTCAACCTTACTGTTAAACACTTTACAATATTCAAATACCCAGTCTAACACTTCAAGGTGTGCAACATAGTGTTTAGCACGTGCATGTGCAGGCAACTTGAACACTTTCGAGAACACTTTATTTATCAGTGTACTTTTAAAAAGCCCACCGCATCCGATGAAGGCCCGTACACAAATGATTCCGTGATTTTTAGAGGTTAACACTCTTCATAGTGTTCTGCTTGGCCCCATACGTGTGCCCACATTATTCAAAAACATGCTCGTCATTAGAATTCAATTTTGAGAACACAATTTTGGTTTGGAGTGTATCGAGTGTACCCAACCAGATAAATATGTTTCCCACGAGGGAAACCTATCTGGTCTCCTAACATTTACGATTGGCTCCCAAAAATATTGCAACCCTGTTAAGCCTTTGCAGTCCTACATGAAAAGTAACCCAGCCCTTGGAAGCTGTCAGTGAGTGTCAGTTAAGTTCTGGGAGCAGACGAGACGCATCGAGGTTGCGTGGCGCAGTTCCCGTCTCGGCGGGTGTGTGGTGTGTGGGGAGGGTGGTTGCCGTACTAACCGTCCAGCCGCTGGTTGAGGCCATGGCGGGAGGGGCTGCTGCTGCCTGGGTCTAGGTCAGGGTCGGGGTCGGAGAGGGGTCGGCGCCGAGCCGCGCAGCACACCGTGGACCCGCGAGCTGCTCTCCCAACGCGAGTGGCGTGCCGCTGCGTGCCGCCCAACTAAGACTGGCACTCGGAAAATTGTTGCGAATGGATGAGAGACCAAACAGCGCCTCCACCGGCGTCCCTTGTTGCCGCCGCCGGTGCTGCTGCAGCAGCGGCAGCGGGCGCGGCGGCCGCCGGGACACAGCCCGGGCGCCACTGCCGCTGCCCACGCCGCCGACGCTGCGGCCCGCGGCCCGCTCGTGGGTGCGCCCCAGTTCGTCTAAGCTGTATTCATCTAAACCAGTCATTTCTCTTCTAAGGTGAAAACTTTCCGTTTTCATCTAAGCGGTCACTTTTCATCAAACCTTTTTTCTTCTAAACTGACTGCCGTCACTTCTCATCTAAGCTTTTTTCTTCTAATCGTTTTTCATCTAGGCTCTGCCTGCCTCTCTTCGGGTGGGGAAGGGCGCAGGGGGGGGGGGCGCTTTGATGTTCATGTGGACAGCCTACCCACCAGGCGCTATACTTAGGTTACAATAGGTTAGCGTAACTGTGAATAGATCAAGTTAGGTTTTGGAAAAGTTAGGCTCAGATTGGCCGAACGCAATCCCTGAACCCTCAAACCTAACTCTACTGACCTATTTTCACTAACCCAACCTATCGTTCGTCGACATTTTAGGTAAGCTGATGGGATCACGCATTTTGAAATTCGGGTTAGAATCATGAACGTTTGGACACATGCTCTTATGATAGCCAGCAGCAGATTCCGCCTAGTGGCAACTTCCGCAGGTGTTCTAGAAACCTAATATCGCTACTAGAACAATCTCGCAACACCATGTACGGAGTGCCCACTAGCTTGTGCAAAATGTCACCAACGCATTGCAGAACTCCTGCTGCCTAACAATTTTTTTGTTGTATTTTTTTACGGTCTCGGTTTCAGTTGGTTTACCGTAACTGTTTGCAATATCGATCAATTACCGCTTTTTTAATTCCTTCATGATTGGTTGCAATTTGTGTAAAATAAAATCACGTCATCTACAGACTCTATAGCCTAGGACCAGGCCCTCTGGAAGGTGCAGGACTCTATAGCCTAGGACCAGACCCTCCGGAAGGTGCAGATATCCGGAGGGCATCACAAGGTAAGAGCAATACAACACGTTACTGTTATCGATTCTGTTATCAGAAATTAACTCAAGCCGGTACACCCCCAGATCGCAGTACCTTGTACTTCTTTCTGCACCAGCGACATCGCGTGTAATTGTGTGTTATGTGTACGATAAGTTCACCACGAATGTAACAACAACAGAGGATAAACTTCGAAAGCCTCCGTAAGCGCTATTTTATACCTTGGCATATATATCACGTGTGATTGTGTGTACGATTAGTTCACCTCGAATGTAACAATAGAGCCAGACCTTTTGTATGCATGGCATAATGTGACTCCTCACTGCTCTAGCTACAGGTTTCCTTAATAGTTATCCACTTCACTCAAGGCATGAATTGCACAGGACTTTAAGAACTTTCGTTGAATCAGACACAGGTTCCGGAAACTCCTAGTAGACGCCGCGACATGAAACATAGAAACGACAAAGTCACTCCTCCAAATATACAAGAAACATATCTTAATGCAGTGACTGTATTCTGTAGAGGGCCTTGTATTATGCCTTGGCATAATAATGTGACTCCTCAGTTTCATGATATTCATTGAATGAAATATACTGCTGCTGAGCTGTGGCTCAAGCTTTCCTTCATATGGATATAGGGGTAGGAGCGTAGAATCAACCTGTCAAGCGGCGCTTGTCCTTCAGCTAACAGATCCTGAAGGCACCCTAACAGGTTCACAAGGACGGTCGCAGATTCTATGAATAATTACAAAGTGAAAAAGAAATCTGTAAGTATATGCTAGGTATGGTGTGATTCTGATCTGGTGTAAAGGTTTAAATGTTAAAATACTGACTTCAAAATTGAGTGATTGATGAGAGTGCTGACAGAACAGCTGTTTTAATAAAGTTTTAATTTCTCTTCTTAATCTATTTATTGAATCAATATCAAAACAGTGCAACAATTTCACAAGAAGTTGGCAGTTATCTGGCGCTTAAATTCCACAATACATCTTTACAGTAACATATCTGATGGGACGCTGTACTTAATGCGTCCCTTCTCAAACTGTACTGGTGAGGGAGGGGTCATGGGGGTATAAAACTCATGAAGGATGTATACCCCCTCCCCCCCGGTGTAGGAGGAATAAAAACACTGACGGGCACTAACTAATAGTAACTCGTTGTTCGTCTAGCCCTACCCTAAAAGAATCTGTTTTGGTTTTTAAAATCGGTGCACTTGTACGTCCTCCAGAGCGTGGAGAGCACCCTCCGGTAGAGGTCTCTGGCCCTGAAGTAACGTCTCCATCACCCATACTCTCCAGGTCATACAGGCAGCTCTAGCCGCTTTTGAACTTCATCGACAGATACATCATTTGAAATGGAACAGTGCCATGCTTTTTATATGCCATCTGTTCCACATGTATGTCACATACCTCCACTTACACAGTTTTTGGGACACCACGGATAGGCTAGCGAAGGCTTGTTATACTATGCCAGCACACACCATGCCTAACCATAAAGATATCACGTATGGTGAGTGATGCAAGTTTGACTTTATCAGCACTCCAGGACAACAAGACATCACGACAATTGACTGCTGGTAATAGTATCGGAGCCAACCACACCGAAAAAGCGTAAGGTACGCGCGGGTGGAAATTAAGGTACGGATGACGTTGTGCGCAACTTAACCGCATGGATTACCGCACGGAGGGCCATTATGGCACAGACTCCGTTCCTTAATGCTGGGGTACGGGTGTTAAGGAACGCATTAAGGTGAAAATGGCCCGGACCTTCGAAGCCCGGGGTGACCAAAAATCGCCCCGCGGGCACAAAATCGCCAGGTCTGACACTCCTGCATCGGACTGCGTGTTGCGTGGGAAGCGGGCCGCCTGCCCGCTCTGCGCCTGGGAGTGTCGTGAGAATCTGTCCCCTTCGCCAGAGTTTCTTGAGTAACGTGCTGCCGCCGCCCGCCGCCGCCGCCCGCCGCCGCCCAGCCTGCTGAGCGGTTGTTCCCCGGCGGGAGTGAGCTGAGCGTTTCTTCCCAGCCGCGGAGGCACTGAGCGGTTTTCCTTAGGGGGTATCGATACAGACTTCCACTTTTAATACGTTGTTGAGAAAGGATACAACTATACTTAATTGTACGTCAAGTAAGGTTTCTGAAAAAATAGTTTCAGAGTGGTCAAACGCGCGCCTTGAGCCCTTAAAACTGTCTTTCTTGTATTATTTCCACTAACCCAACCTAACGTTCGTAGCCGCGCCGCGCCGGGTGGGCCGGACCGGGCGCGCATACAGAGAGTGCCTGGTGTTAGTGCAAAATTGCACCACAGCGCGCAACACCGCAGAGCGAGTGACTGGCGCTCAAGGCAATCTTTGGCGGATCGAATCGGAAAAATATTAACAGCAATGGAAAGCTTGAACCTTAAGCTTCAATCGGCTCGCTTTGACCCACCATTTATCTCTGATAGTTTAGCAGCTAGAGCCGACGGAAGTCGTGGGTAGCCTACCCACCAGGCGCCATATAAAGTCACCTTAGTTATACGTGACTGGGCATAGATCAAGCTAGGTTTCTGAGAAAATAGTTTCAGAGTAGTCAAACGCGCGCCTTGGGCCCTTAAAACTGTCTTTCTTGAATTATTTCCACTAACCCAACCTAACGTTCGTAGCCGCGCCGGGTTGGCCGGACCGGGCGCGCATACAGAGAGTGCCTGGTGTTAGTGCAAAATTGCACCACTTCGCGCTACACCGCAAAGCGAGTGACACGCCCTTCAGTCAATCTTTGGCGGATTGGCGTTCGGGCTGTATGGGTCGGATCGGAAAAATATTAGCAGCGATGGAAAGCTTGAACCTTAAGCTTCAATCGGCTCGCTTTGACCCACCATCTATCTTTTATAGTTTAGGCGCTAGAGCCGACGGAAGCCGCGCCGGGTGGGCCGGACCGGGCGCGCTGCACCGCGGGTCGAGTGACTCGCGCTCTAGGCAATCTTTGGCGGATCGGCGTTCGGGCTGTATGGGTCGGATCGGAAAAATATTAACAGCGATGGAAAGCTCAAACCTTATGCTTTAATCGGCACGCTTTGACCCACCATCTATCTCTAATAGTTTAGGAGGAGCTAGAGCCGACGAAAGCGCGCCGCGCCGCTCCTCGCCCATTGCTCCCCGAGGGATAGCCGGCCGCCTGCCCGCTCTGCGCCTGGGAGTGTCGTGAGAATCTCTTCCCCTCCGCAGAGTTTCTTGAGTAACGTGCCGCCGCCGCCACGCTGCGCCCAGCCTGCTGAGCGGTTGTTTCCCGGCGGGAGTGAGCTGAGCGTTTCTTCCCAGCCGCGGAGGCACTTAGCGGTTTTCCTTAGGGGGTGTCGATATAGACTTCTAATTTTAATACGTTGTTGAAAAGGATGGAACTATACTTGTACACGGAAAAAAAAGATTCGCTGAGTCAGCTAATATATTGA